AAGAGGCCCCAAGAACCCCCCAAGAGGCCCCCGAGACGTTCCAAGAGGCGCCCAAGAAGCCACAAAGAGGTCCCAAAACGGCCCCCAAGAGCCTTCGAAACTGCTCCAAGAGGCCCGCAAGAAGCCCCCCCGCAAGATCCCAACGGACATCCCTGAAAACACCGGTTTTTCGAGTCGCGCCCAGCCCCATAACCCGGAGCCTCATCTCAGTGTCCCCGTCCTCCTCCTCTTCCTCCTCCTCCTACACTTCCTCCTCGTTCCCCTCCTCCTCTTCCTGCCCCGCTTCAGCTCATCCTCACCGATGCTTCTCCCCCCCATTTTCCGCCTCACCCCCCATCCTCCTCTCCCCGTCCTCCCTTTCTGCCCAGTACGCGCAACCGATTGGGCATAATTTGCACGTCTTGCACCTTAGGGTGCCCTTCTTTGCGTCGCGCGGGACATTGTGAGGGTCGGGGAACGCCGACTTTGGTAGTCCTCTCTTGCACGCGCCGCTGCACTGATAAGCCTGACAACTGCGCGCTGTGAACCCGAATTCCCCGCAGCTTCTGCACACCACTTTAGCTCCTTTCGCCGCTCGATGATGTTCCACTTGCTTCTGCTTCAAATGTTTCGTGTCCGAGAACGCGCCTTTGCACGCCGCGCACGTCAGCGGCTTCGCGTCCGCCTCTGCTTTCCGCTTGCGATTCTCTGCATCCGCCTTCTCGGTCCGCCCACCCTTCTCGTTGCGGGCGCACGCCCTGCAAAGCCTCTCCCCCGCATCTTTCGAGTCGTACTGGTTCGCCGCCACTTCCGCCTCCGTCTTCAAGACATTCTTGCACTTCGCGCACCGAATCTGGAATTTCTCCTGAATCTGAGAGGCCTCTGAACCACAACTCTGGCACGGTGGCGGGATGGGCCGACTACTGGGAGGAGGAGCAAAGACGACGACGATAGGAACGCGGGGGATAAAGTCGGGCCATGACGCCCCCAAGACGTCCAAGATTGCCTCCAACAAAAAACAAGGGGTCGGCGGTGTGGCGTAAGCCTAAAGAATAATATTGTTGGTATGGTTACTATCAGTATTGTTGTTATGATGTTACTAATACCATTCGTAGTGTTTAATGATTACCGTCGGTATTATTGTACGACTAAAATTACGAGTAGCATCATTCGTGTTGTTACCAGTAGTAGCACGATGCTTCTTATGATTCGTATTCGTCGTAATGTTTAGTTTTCTTAGCATTCGTATTATCATTCCTCTTCCTCCTCCTCCTCCTCCTCGCCGCGGCTGCTGCTCCTTCTCCTTCGCCTCCTCCCTCCTCCTCCTTCTTCTCCGCTTCCTCCTCCTCCTCCTTTTCCGTTTCCTGTTCCTCCTCCTCCTCATCATCATCATCCTCCTCGTCCTCCGCCTCCTCCTCCTCCTTTTCCTTCTCCTCCTCCTCCTCCTCCGCCTCCTCCTCATCCTCCTCCTGCTCCTCATGCTCCTCCTCCTCCTCATCATCATCATCATCATCAGCATCATCATCATCATCACAAGCAGCAGCAGCATCATCATCTCCTCCTTCTCCTCCTCATCCTTCTCCTCCTCCTCCTCTTCCTTAATCCCTTTCCTATTCATCAAACCCCTGTCGCGGCCCCAGACGTGTCGGTAGTGCTAGATCGGGCATGTCCCCCCATACAGGCGTTTTTTTGGACGAAAAATTGAGAGTGCCAGAAACATATCACTAAATACTCAACAAATAATCGAACATCGTCCCCAGACTATTTTTTCTATGTTTGAATATTCCTCCTGTAGAGGGACACGCCCGACTTAACGGTAGTGCAGACCAGGCGTTTCGCCCGAGACTTCTGGACCACTCGTGGCCCTGAAGCTTGAACGTCGCAGCAAGTACACGGCTGGGGGGGCTGTCTTCAGAATGGAGCTCTCGCCTTGGCGCCGCGCTCGTTCGTTCTAAAGCCTTGCAGCAACTACAAGGATGGAAGGTGCCGTTTTCAACGAGAAGTTCTCGCCGTAGCGCCGCGCACATTACTCCCGAAGACTTGCAGCAAATACAAGGATGTATTGGGGGCGTTCAACATGGAGCCCTTGCCTTAGGGCGGTGCACATGCGTCTTGAGAGCTTGCACGAATCACAAGGATGGAGGACGGCCCAATTTCAATCAGGCGCTCTCGCTTGAGATGTTCGTTACCCCGACGACCGAAAGTTTGAGCTTATGTAACAGATGCACAGATCCGCCACCGTGCTGCTAGGCACGGAGTGGGCATGTCCCAGATCCTTTGCTCAATCCTCTGAGCCTCAGTCATCGATCCTGAGGGTTCTCAAGAGGCAGAGACCCCAATTGCCGGAGTGCTCCACGTCGGATTCGCGGAGCACCGCTCTGCTAATCCGCCGCCCCCTGAGGCGTGTGCGATCCAACTGTGCATCTGTTGACGACCGACGCCCCCCACCTCGCCCCAGCATCCCAACCGCCCAGAAGCTCTCCTCTTGGGAAACGCCACCCGGCAATCTCTCGCCCGAAACCAATTAGCACCCCCCACGTCGCCACCCCGCCCCGGCATTTCCACCTGTGGCAACCTCGGTTCTCAGGACCCCCCACCCGACCATGCCCCGCCCGGAAGACACCCCGAACCCCACCGCGCCCTGGCATCCCTCTCACTTGGCATCTCTGCTCCTGGACCCCCCCACCCGACCATTTCTCGCCCGCAGGAACCCACACCGATCCCCCTCCGCGCACCGGCACGGCCTCGGCGTCGTCGCCGTCGTCATCATCGTCGGCATCGGTCGGCGTCATCGTCGTAGTCGTCGACGTCGTCGTCGGCCTCGTCGACGACGTCGTCGTCGGCCTCGGCGTCGTCGTCGTCGTCGTCGGCCTCGGCGTCGTCGTCGTCGTCGCCAGCCTCGGCGTCGTCGTCGTCGTCCTCGGCGTCGCCCTCGTCGTTGTCGGCCTCGGCGTCGTCGTCGTCGTCGTCGGCCTCGTCGTCGGCCTCGGCGTCGTCGTCGTCGTCATCATCAGCCTCGGCGTCGACGTCGTCATCGTCGTCGGCCTCGTCGGACGCGGCGCCGTCGTCGTCGGCCACGGCGTCGTCGTCGTCTCGTCGTCGTCGTCGTCTGCGGCCACGGTGTCGTCGTCGTCGGCCTCAGCGTCGTCGTCGTCGTCGTCGGCCTCGGCGTCGTCGTCGTCGTCGGCCTCGGCGTCGCCGTCGCCGTCGTCGCCGTCGTCTCGTCGTCGTTGTCGTCGTCGTCTGGTCTTCGTCGTCTGCGTCGTCGTCGTCGTGGTATGTCGTCGTCGTCTCGTCGTCGTCATCGTCGTCGGCGTCATCGTCGTCGTCGTCGTCGGCCTCGGCGTCGTCGTCGTCATCGTCGGCCTCGGCGTCGTCGTCTCGTCATCGTCGTCGGCCTCGGCGTCGTCGTCGTCGTCGTCGTCGTTGTCGGCCTCGGCGTCGTCGTCGTTGTGGTCTCGCCTCGGCGTCGTCGTCGTCGGCGTCGTCTCGTCGTGGTCGCGGTCGTCGTCGGCGTCGTCGTCGTATGTCGTCGTCGTCTCGTCGTATGTGGTCATCGTCGTCGACCTCGGCGTCGTCGTCGGCGTCGTCGTCGTCGGCTTCGTCGTCGTCGTCCTCGGCGTCGTCGTCGTCGTCGTCGTCGGCCTCGGCGTCGTCGTCGTCGTCGACCTCGGCGTCCTCATCGTCGTCGTCAACCTCGGCGTCGTCGTCGTCGGCGTCGTCTCGTCGTTGTCGCGGTCGTCGTCGTCTCGTCGTCGACGTCGTCGTATGTCGTCGTCGTCATCTCGTCGTCGTCGTCGTCGTCGGCCTCGGCATCGTCGTCGTCGTCGGCCTCGGCCTCGGCGCTGTCGTCGTCGTCGTCGTCGGCCTCGGCGTCGTCGTATGTCGTCGTATGTTCTCGTCGTCGTCGTCTCGTCGTCGTTGTCGTCGGCCTCGGCATCGTCGTCGTCGTAGGTCGTCGTCGTCGTCGTCCTGTCGTTGTCGTCTCGTCGTATGTGGTCGTCGTCGTCGGCCTCGGCGTCGTAGTCGGCGTCGTCGTCGTCGGCTTCGTCGTCGTCATCCTCGGCGTCGTCGTCGTCGGCCTCGGCGTCGCGTTCGTCGTCGTCGTCGTCGCCTCGGCGTCGTCGTCGTCGTCTCGTCGTCGTCGTCGTCGTGTCGTCGTCGTCGTCATCGTCGTCGTCGTCTTCGTCTGACGTCGGCCTCGTCGTCATCGTCGTCTCGGCGTCGTCGTCGTCGTGTGTCGTCGTCGTCGTCGTCATCGTCGGCGTCGTCATCGTCGTCGGCCTCTTCGTCGGCGTCGTCGCCGGCGTCGTCGTCGTCGGCGTCGTCGTGGTCGTCGACCTCGTTGTCGTCGTCGTCGTTGGCCTCGGCGTCGTCGTCGTCGTCGACATTGTCGTCTCGTCGTCGTAGTCGTCGTCGGCCTCGGCGTCGTCGTCGTCGGCCTCGGCGTCGGCGTCGTCGTCGTCGTCTCGTCGTCGTCGTCGCCCTCGTCGTCGGCGTTGACATCGTCGTCATCGTCGGGCTCGGCGTCGTCGTCGTCGTATCGTCGTCGTCGTCGTTGCCTATTGGTCGTCGTCGCCGTCGCCGAAGTATGTCGTCGTCGTCTAGTCGACGTTGTCGTCGTCGTCGTCCTCGGCGTCGTCACCGTCATCGTCGTCGGCGGCGTCGTCGTCGGCGTCGGCCTCGGCATCGTCGTCGTCGTCGTCATATGTCTTCGTCGGCGACGTCGTCGGCGTCGTCGTCGGGCTCGGCGTCGTCGTTGTCGTCGTCAGCCTCGGCGTCGTCGTCTTCGGCGTCGGCCTCGGCGTCGTCGTCGTCGCCGGCCTCGGCGTCCTCGTCGTCGTCGTCGTCGGCCTCGGCGCGGTCGTTGTCGTCGTCTCGTCGCCGTCGTCGCCGTCGTCGTCGTCGTATGTTCTCGTCGTCGTCGGCATCGTCGTCGACGTCGTCCCGACGTCGTCGTATATCGGCGTCGTCGTCGGCGTCGTCTTCGTCGTCATCGTATGTCGCCGTCGGCCTCGGCGTTGTCGTCGTCGTCGTCGTCGTCGTATATCGTCGTCGTTATCGGCGTCGTCGTCGTCTCGTCGTCGTCGTGGTCGTCGGACTCGGCGTCGTCGTCTGTCGTCGGCGTCGTCGTCGTCGTCGGCGTCGTCCTCGGCCTCGTCGTCCTCGTCGGCGTCGTCGCATGTCGTCGTCGTCGGCGTCGTCGTCGGCGTCGTCGTCGTCTTGTCGTCGTCGTCCTCGTCGGCCTCGTCGTATGTCGTCGTCGTCGGCGCCGTCGTCGTTGGCGTCGTCGTCGTCCTCGGCCTCGTCGTTATCGTCGTCGTCGGCGTCGTCGTCGGCGGCGTCGTTGTCGGCGGCGTCGTCGTCGTCGTCGTCATCGTCCTCGTCGTCGTCGTCCTCGGCGTCGTTGGCGTCGTCGTCACGTCGTCGTCGTCGTCGGCAAAGTCGTCGTCGTCGTCGTCCTCGTCGTCGTCCTGGTCTTCGGCCTCGTCGTCGTCGTCGTCGGCGTCGTCGTCGTCGTCGTCGGTGGCGTCGTCGTCGTCGGCCTCGTCCTCGGCCTCGTCGTCGTCGGCGTCGTCGCAGTCGTCGTCGCCGCCGTCAGCGTCATCGTCGTCGTCGGCGTCGTCGTCGTCGTTGGCGTTGTCGTCGTCGTCGTTGGCGTCGTCGTCGTCCTCGGTCTCGCCGTCGTCGTCGCTGTCGTCGGCGGCGCCGTCGTCGTCGTCGTTGTCGTTGGCGTCGTCGTCGTCGTCGTCCTCGTCGTCGGCGTCGTCGTCGTCGGCGTCGTCGTCGTCGGCGGCGTCGTCGTCGTCGTCCTCGGCCACGTCGTCGTCGTCGTCGTCGGCATCGTCGTATGTCGTCGTCGTTGGCGTCGTGGTCGTCATCGGCCTCGTCGTCGTCCTCGTCGGCGTCGTCGTCGGCGGTGTCTTCGGTGTCGTCGTCGTCGTCATCGTTGGCGGCGTCGTTGTCGTCTCGTCGTCGTCGTCGTCGGCGAAGTCGTCGTCGTCGTCGTCGTATGTCGTCGTCGCCGTCCTGGTCTTCAGCCTCGTCGTCGTCCTCGTCGTCGTCGTCGTCGGCAAAGTCGTCATTGTCGTCGGCGTCGTCGTCGTCGTTGGCGTCGTCGTCGTTGGCCTCGTCCTCGGCCTCGTCGTCGTCGGCGTCGTCGCCTCGTCGCCGTCGTCGTCGCCGCCGTCGGCGTCATCGTCATCGTTGGCGTCGTCGTCGTCGTTGGCGTTGTTGTCGTCGTCGTTGGCGTCGTCGTCGTCCTCGGCCTCAACGTCGTCGTTGGCGGCGGCGGCGTCGTTGTAGTCGTCGTCGTCGTCGTTGGCGTCGTCGTCGTCATCGTCGTCGTTGTCGTCGTCGTCGGCCTTTTCGTCGTCGTCGGCGTCGTCGTCGGCGTCGTCGTCGTCGTCCTCGTCGTCGTCGTCGTCCTCGTCGGCGTCGTCGTATGTCGTCCTCGTCGTCGTTGGCGTCGTCGTCGTCCTCGGCCTTGTCGTCGTCGTCGGCGTCGTCGCCGGCGGCGTCGTCGTTGTCGTCGTCGTCGTCGTCCTGGTCTTCGGCCTCGTCGTCGTCGTCGTCGGCGTCGTCGCCGTCGTCGTTGGCATCGTCGTCCTCGTCCTCGGCCTCGTCGTCGTCGGCGTCGTCGCCGTCGTCTTCGCCGCCGCCGGCGTCATCATCGTCGTCGGCGTCGTCGTCGTCGTTGGTGTTGTCGTCGACGTCGTCGTCGTCATCGTTGGCGTCGTCGTCGTCCTCGGCCTCGTCGTCGTCGTCGTCGGCGGCGGCGTAGTCGTCGTCGTCGTCGTCGTCGTCGTCGTCGTCGTCGTCGTCGTCGTCGTCGTTTGCGTCGTCGTCGTCGTCGTTGGCGTCGACGTCGTCGTCGGCCTCGTCGTCGTCGTCGTCGTCGGCGGCGGCGAAGTCGTCGTCGTCGTCGTCGTCGTTGTCGTTTGCGTCGTCCGTCGTCGTTGGCGTCGTCGTCATCCTCGGCCTCGTCGTCGTCGTCGTCGGCGGCGGCGTAGTCGTCGTCGTCGTCGTTGTCGTTTGCGTCGTCGTCGTCGTCGTCGTTGGCGTCGTCGTCGTCCTCGGCCTCGTCGTCGTCCTCGGCCTCGTCGTCGTCGTCGTCGTCGTCGGCGTCGTCGTCGGCCTCGTCGACGTCGTCGGCGTGCGCGCGCGGGTCCTGGCCGGGCAGGGGCTGCCATCTCGCCCTGCGCGGGCGGCGGCTGCGGCGCCGCGGCCTGGCCCGCGGCGCCCTCGGCCTCGTGCTGCCGCCCTCCCCCCCCTCCTCCCCCTCCTCCCTCCTCCTCCTCTTCCTCCCCCTCCTCCTCCTCCTCCTCCTCCTCCTCCGCCTCTCTCACTCCTCCTCCTCCTCCTCATCCTCCCCTTCCTCCTCCTCCCTCCACCTTCCTCCTCTTCCCCCTCCTCCTCCTCCTCCGCCTCCTCCGTCCTCCTCCTCCTCCTCCTCTCCTCCTCCTCCTCATCATCATCATCATATCATCATCATCATCATCATCATCATCATCATCTCCCCCCCCTCCTCCTCCTCCTCCCCTCCTCCCTCCTCCACCTCCTCCTCTTCCCTCCCCCTCGTCCCTCCTCCTCCTCCTCCTCCTCCTCCTCCTCCTCCTCCTCCTCCTCCTCCTCCTCCAGGCGGCTCCGCGGGGGGGCCCTGCAGCCGTTTCGCCCACGGGGCGGGCGGGCGCGGCGGACCCATTGCGGCAGCCCCCAGCGCCACAGGCGCGAGGCTGGACCCTCTTTGTCCCCATGCGGGAGAGGCCGAGGGTCAGCAGGATGGGAGCGCGGAAGCGCAACCCGTCCGTCACCCGCCTGGCACAGGCGCCAGCGCCGTCTGCGCGCGACTGCGCGCCAGGTGCTGCAGGCGGCGAGACTCAGGACTGTGATCGAGGAGCACCACGGCAGCGCAGCACTACAGATGGGACGTGGAGGCTGCGCCAAGGGCAGGTGGAGCAGCAACGACTGGGAGCCCCAGCAGCACCACCAGCAGCAGCACAATCGGGAGTACACCACATGCAAGAGCTGTAAAGAATGGTGGACGGACCGCCTCCCAGCCATGCAGTACTGGCGCACTTGCGGTAAGATGCTGCCAGGTTCGGGCAAGAAGTACTGCGACGACAGCAGGAGCGGCCAAGGAGGCAAAGGCGCGGCCAAAGGAAGCAAGACGACGGCCGAAGTTGCCCAGGCGCTCCAGGTGGTCACCAGTACGCTCGGCGGCACGCAGCTGGAGAATGGCGAGGAGATCCAGCGCCAGCTGGCAGGAGCCGCCAACGCCCTCCAGCTGGTAGCAGCAGCAGCGCCAACACCACCGCAGTCGAAGGCTGTCAGGCTGGCGACCGCGGCGCGCACGCTGGAGACGGTCACCCGACAGTACGCGACGGCCTACAAGCAGAAGCAGGAGGCGGAATAAGCAGCTCAGCAGGCCAAGCAGACGCTCACGCAGAGGGCAGGGGCAGTGCTGAGCGCGGAGGCGGAGATCGAGAAGATCCACATGGAAGGCAAGGAGGCAGCAATCCCAGGGCGAGGCATCCTAGAGCAGCTCATCTCGGGCGAGATCGACAGCCTGTCCGAGGGGCAGCTGCTCTCCGACACCGGCAAGGAGCTCGACGTGCAGGAGGAGTGCATGGACGCAGAGGCCAAGCGAGCTGTGGAAGCAGCAAAGGAGGCGGTCGTGGCGCAGCTCCAGGCCGACGCGAAAAGCCTCGCGGGACAGCGGCGCGACCACCCAGCAGAGGCCAAGTCAGAAAGCGCAGGAGCAGCGTTGGGCCATCACGCAGGCGGCGAAGAAGAGGAACGCAGAAGGAAGAGATGCAGTGGGCGCAGCAGCAGCGGCAGCAGCGGCAGGAGAGCCGCCGGCGGCGGCGCAGCCAGCAGCAGGCGCAGCGCCAGAGCAGGAGACACCACCGAAGGAAGACGCGGAGCAGCTCTCCTGCAGGGGCTTCGCGAGGCCAAAGGGCGGCGGCAAAGGGGCCGGCCAGGCCTCGGGCTGACGCCGGGCGCAGGGGGCGGGCCGCGAAAGAGGGGGCGACGGCTCGCCCCCGAAGCGCACCATCTTCAGCGCCAAGCTCGCCACCTGGGGGCCCACGGCCCGGCTGCGGCTGGCTAGACAGCAGGAAGAGGAGGGCCACGACGCGCGCGCGTGCCAGGAGACGCACATCGCGGGCGAGGCCACGGAGTCAGAGGAGGCAGCGCTCGTGAAGCCAGGCTTCGAGGCCTGCTTCGCGACAGCGAGAGGCAGCGAGCGCACGGAGCAGGGAACCAGCGGAGGCACTGCGGTGCTTCTGCGGGGACGCTGTAAGGCTTCCAGCTGTCGCGCGCGAGCACTACCAGGCACCACTCCGAAGGTGACGACCATAGAGGGGCACCACAGGAGCGGCGTAGACATGTGCGACTGGACCCCGGTCACCTGGCACCTGAAGGGAACGTCGACCACGGCGGTCAGCCTTGACTCGGACACGGGCCTGTCCTTGAAGGAGGGCATCAACAGCAGGAAGCTGACGAGCTTGGCGGCGTTCCTCCATAGCTTGCAGGGCGCATGGATCGTCTGTGGCGACTTCAACAAGGAGCCACAGGAGTTCTGGGCGTCAGGCTGGCCAGAGGCGATGGGCGCATCCAACCTCGTCACCTTGCCAGCGGGCGCCGCCACCTGCCACCTTGGCGACAGCGCCACCGCCATCGACTTCGCGGTGGTCAACAGCGCTGGGGCGGAGCTCGTTGCGGGGATCGAGGCGGTATACGACGCGCCGTGGAAGCCGCGCATCGGGTCCACGATCACGATCCACGGGGAGGCGCAGGCGACCCAGGCAAGGGAGCTCAACGTGCCGCAGGCCTTCCCCCACCCACCGAAGCCGAAGAAGCAGCCGACCCCAGGAAGCAAGAGATCCAAGAGGATGCTGCAGCAGGAGGCTGGAGCACAAGCCGAAGGAGCAGCGCGACGGGTACTATCACAAGAGGATGTTCCACCAGGACACGAGGGGGAGATGCAGCTGGACATCCGCAGATGGGAAGCTCTTCGCCAGTGACAGGCTGGTCACATCATCCCAACCTGGGCCACGTGCTGGGCGGCATTTCGTCGCCAGGTTGCTGGGCGCCAGTGCCAGCGCCCAGAGCTGCGGGGGACAGCGCCATGGGCGCCGGGGACGTAGGCCCGTTCGACCAGCTCAGCCAGGAAGAAGCTCCATCTGACGAAGTACACAGACTGGAAGAAGAGCAGCAGCAGCAGCAGCAGCAGCAGCAGCAGCAGCAGCAGCAGCAGCAGCACAGCGTGCACGAGCCAGAGGCGGCCGTGCCAGAGGGCGAGATCACAGAGGACGGCCACAGCAACAGTGGCGTGCAGCGTGCGATGGCCAGCGACGACATGCAGGAGAGCATCCGCGTCGAGCGGCACAGCCCACCTGAGCGAGCACACGGGCACCTCCACCAAGGGGCATCTCTGGGAGTGCGCCAGCCAGCCGGAGAGCGCGCTGGGCCGCGCCACGACCACCCCCGAGCGCACAGGCAAGTGCGCAACGTGCCGGGTCCTTCCAGAGGCAGCAGACGACCCGGGTAATGAGGCTGTTCGAGCACACGATCGGCACGGTTGAGCGGTTCTACTGCATGGCGTACAAGGCCGACCTAGAGGACAGGAGGCGCTTGGCGGGCAGAGGACACGGCTACAAGCTCAAGGAATTGGAGAACCGAGAGGGGGAGGAGAGGGGAGAGAGAGAGAGAGATACAAAGACATGAGAGCCGACTGGCGGGCCGGAGTCGAGACTGCGCTCACCCTGACGGCGAAGCTAAGAAGGAAAAAGACAGAGGCAGGCAGCAGCTCGAGGAGATGGCCAGGGCAGCACGCGCGCGTGCCTACGCCATGCCGCAACGGAAGGGAGCGGCGACGCCCACCGCGGAGCTCCACCACCAGATATGGCGGAGCCGCCTCGGGAACCTTGAGGAGGTTAACGTCGACGTCATCGAGGGCATGGCAAAGCAGGCAGAGGAGGAAAAGCAGGCGGCAGCACAGCGCGACTGCACAGAGAGCACGATATAATCTTCTGCCAATGGCTGGCAGATGCCGAGGCGAAGCCAGGAGTGCTCCACTTGATCACGAAGCCGCCCGCGAGGCGCGAGGAGGAGATCACGACGGAGGCCCGCACCACGGACTGCCCTATGGAGATCGTGGATATGAAAGTAGAGGCGTTCAGCAAGATCTGGAGCTGCAGCGAGATCCCGCATGAGAGGCACACGAGCATCCTGCAGGACCTGCGGCAGCAAGCGCTCAGCACCGAGTGCCCCCACTGGTGCGTCGAGGACCCCGACGAGACACTCAACGGCGAGCCAGACCGCGGCCAGGGCGTAGACGAGCTGAGCCGCACCGACACCAGGAGGCTGCCACTCGAGGGCAGGGCGGGCCATCGTGGACCTGCCCAGCGCCTGCGCACATCAGTTGATGTGGCCGCGGCAGCTCCCGTGCTCGCCGGTGGTGGCGATGCCCGAGCCAGCCCAGGGCGGCAGGGCGCCGCCGTTGCTCCCGCAGCTGGCCCGCACGTGGGAGCTGCTCCACGGACCTGCTGCACGCAGGTGGGCCAAGGACCCATCCCAGACATGATGGCGTCGTGACAAAAATCAGGACGAGAGGTTTCTCGCCACTTTCGATCCCTGGGGGCCCTCGCCGGGCCCCAGGACCGTCAACAAAACGACTCGGGACGAAAGACCGGCCCCCGGGAAAGGGTCTGGGCTTCCGGGGGCGCCGTCCTGAAAAAATCAGGACGTCGCATGCCTGGGATGAGCAGAGCAAGGGCGCCGCCGTCGCGGGCAGCAGCTGCCCGAGAGGGGCCACGAGGAGGACCATCGCGGACGAGTGCTGCGACGGGGTGCAGGTCCTCCACGGCTGCACGCTCGCGGACCTCGAGGAGTTCTGCGACAGCCTGCGGATGGGCACCCTGGTTCCAGAGGCATTGGGCATGGGCTTCAACCCGCGCGCCCTGCTGCTGCTGATGCTGCGGCACTCGGGCACCAGGTACATGCGGTGCAAGGGCAGCTACTCACATGAGCTCCTGGCGGGCCGATCCATCGTGGCGGGCTCCAGGCACCCGAACAGCATCGCCAAGACGGTCGTCCACGCAGTGCTCGGCAAGCTCATGGCCAGGACGGAGTGCTTGCCCACGCCGCTCCCACGAGGCTGGTTCGAGGACATCAGCATCAGGATCATGGGCAGCCAGAGCGCGGTGGCATCGCAGATGGTCGAGAGCACAGACGTCCTCAAGCA